AACAGATACAGGAATGATACTGGCATGGATGCTTGTTCAGATTCTACCACTGCAATCTCAGGACCTTAATAAACAGAGAGGTTGCTGCACTGAGCTGGTAAGCAGAAATAACCATGTTAATTTAATCACTATGAAAGGGACTCTGCCAAGTTAAGAAACATAAGTTATAATTATATGCACACATACACATTTGAATTATAATATATGCACAATATTTAGCTGTGGCACCAAGAATATGATGGTTTACTAAAACAGGAAGAATTCTTAAATAACATTTTATTTTTCATTGATGATTTTTGTTGATTTGACATTTCCATTTTGTATAGTTCTTACTACTTCTTGTTTCTGCTATATTAACCATGTGCTATTGTATTTACGGTACTAATCAGAAGGAAATTTATCTCCAAACCTTCTTAAAATTTTCATATTAAAGAGTAATCTTTTAATTATAGTGACTTTACTGGTAGTTATTACTTGTAATAAGGATTATGTTCTCTGAAATTGTAATGTTTGAAGAAGAGCTTGTGATACAAACTAGAAGTTACAATGATTCTAGAACAATTAGTGGGTAGCAATGCTATTACCTATATTTAAAAAGGATTTGGATGTGATTCAAAGATTTAAAGACACATAAATTCTACATGAACATCTGAGAAATTGATTGAAACAGTAATTACATATAAGCAGTAAAGCACCTGGGAAATGATGATATTGGTGGCTCTAACCAACTACATTTTTCCTTCCATTGAAAAGCATGTTTCACTACTTTCTCAAAATTCTTTACATGATTAGTAAAAAACTAATAGGTGGAGGGATGACAATTCTCTTAAACATTCTGAAGACCTTTGTTATGTCTCCAAAGAGAAATTGAGAACTGTCTTGGATCAAAACTTTTGAAATAAAAGATAATGGAAGAAAAAACTTCCATTGTAGATAAGGGCTTATAGCTGGTGCATCAAGTTTTAGTGCTTGCTCCTGTGTTGTGTAATGCAGTAATGAACAAGCTGCAGAGTGGGAATACCTTGTCAACTACAAAGATTTGCACATACTATGAAGTTATTGAGAGCAATCATGGCCGGGAAGGTCCGTGCAGAGCACTCTGGGGAGATGCCAATATGCTTGGGGAGTGGACAGAGGCATGGGCATTATAATATGTACCTGAGTGTTGGAATGTATTCCTTATGGGAAGTTCTTGTCCCCATTACAAGATTCCTAATTCTTCTGCTTAATAAATAACTTGACCATTGAAAGACACAGTCTGAGGAATAATCTAAAGAATACCATAATTCATTTCTTTAAATGGGGGATGTGGTTTCATCTGAAAATGCCAGATGCAGTATCTTGGGAAGACTGGTGTATAATGAGGGAAAGTTCAGAGAAGTTTGTCAGGAGCATATGGAAAACTTTCCACAGCAGAGTAATAGAAAAGGTTGTGACTCTTTATCCTTTAAAGGAGAGGAATTAAAAGAAACTACAAAAAATTTTGTCAAGAACTTCTATTTTCCCCAGTAAGAGCAAGGGGGCTGGCAACAGATAAAGTAAAGCACTCCTTCTTTCAAACCATAGTTAAACTGCTGGACTCTATCAGGTGGGAAAACACTGAGGTAAAAGTGTATCAAAATTCAGAAAAGGCTGGGCTATTCTGTGTATTCTCAGAAGAGCCAGATTTAGAATAACTGGAAGGGATACTGCATTTATCTCTCAGGATGAAACACAGCATTAGGGTGGGTAAGTTCTTTTGCATTTCTCTCATGGCAGATGTTCACAGCTTCTACAGTAACTTGTGAGGTGACTGCATAGTGTGGCATGATCAATATCAGAGTAGAGGCAAGCACAGGGCCACAGTTTAATTTCTTAAGCCCAGAAGAGTCTTCCTCTGGCCTTGTTTGAAGCTTCAGGCACTGGCTGGTACCTTCATAAGCAGGACAGTGCGTGGAACAGACCCCACCTTAGTTCCAAATAGCAGCTCCCATAGTATGGGGAAGGCCTTGATCTTTCACATGAAAACTAAATTTCAGGTTTTGAGTTGACTCCTCAGTTTTCTTTAGGGTACTGGTATAAGAGTAAAAGATACTTCTCTTTCTTTTGTGGGAAAATCATGGATTGTTCAATAGCTAAGAGAAAATAAGGGATTTAGTGAAATTAATTTAATGATCCCTGGTAGTGTTTAACTATTTCTGTAGGTTAACTGAACTATCTTTTCGATTTTAGAAGAGTTTCATCTGTGGGGATTCAAAAACAGGTTTGGAAACATAATTTCCTGTCTTCATTACTGTACCCTTTACAGACTACCCATCTTCAGGAAGGATTGGATTTATTACAGAGACTGAATTCATTATGAAGGGTTGTCTTTGGACCTCTGAAGGTTTTATGCTGTAGACTTTACATTCCAGATAAGACAGTGTCTGCTTTTTCCCACATTCTAGAGCTATTTAGGAATTAAAGTGCATTCATAGAAGCTACCAGTGGAGAAGAAAATGAAGGAGTTGAATGGCAGTCAGCTTAGGGGGAAAATGGGAGGCAGACACTGAGTTTATTTTCCCTGGATGCCCAGCTCACTAACTTAACTTCTTGGTGATTCAGTCTCCCCATCAACTGTGAATAAAAATATTACCTTACAACACCTTGTCAGTGGGATGTTAAATTTAGTAATTAGAAAATGCTCTGAGAGTTTTGGATGAAAAGTCCTCCTGGAGTGTTGTTGTTGGGAAGTAGCAGTGCCACACAGAACAACCATGCCCGTTAAAGACAGCTGCCTGTTTTGACCTTAAAACCTACCTTTCCCTCTTTTCAAACTTAGTTTTTGATATCTCTGGAACAAATGGAGAGTAGTTCCACCTTCATATATGTTCCACTTATCCCTCAGCCTTTCCTTGCTCATTTCCTTTTCTAATGCATTCATTTGCTGAATGTATTGGTATCCAGAGACAGGCAGAGCTTGTCACAGTGAGGACATGTTTGTTTCCAATGCCCTTGAGCTTGCTTGAAGCTTCTTTGCTTGCTGAATATATGATGACCCCTTGGGGTTTGCAATCCCTCAAGGTTCTAAATACAGAACAAATGCCCTTTTGCACCCAAGCACAGGACTTTGAACCCAAGCCAAGCCCACATCCAGAGATGATTATGGAGGTTCCTCAGTGACTACAGATTCAAGCATTGGGATTTGCACATAAATCACATCAAAAATCTCTTCTTTCTATTGAAATGTGTGGATCCAGAGGGAGGTACTAGGCGTTCATACAGGGAAATTCAATCTGTATGATTGTCTTTTGACTTTTCTGTCTTTTTTATAGCTCAAGCAAGGGAGAAGTTGGGGAAGGGGCCATAATGGGATATGTATGCAGAGCTTAATGCTGAAAACAGAGGCCTGATTGAATAGAGCTCCTTGTGATGAGAAGGGGGATCAATTCACAGTTGACCCCATCCCATTGTGTGGGTTGTCCTGGGAGTTTCCTTTAAAATCCCAGTGGTTTGGTTTTTCTGCATGGTTTGTACCCAGCCTTTCCCTCCATGAATAGAATAGCTTTTTCTGGAATTTCTGCTGGATTTTCTGTGGTTATTGGCTGAGCAATGCTCTCCCACTTCAGAAGACTGGAGGAAGTACATTGTGGAAGTACAGATCAGGGACGTTGAATCATTTGATAACTGAAAGTTTTTCATATATAGAACAAACATGTTCCTGGGATGCAACAGCCCCCAAGAAACAGATTATACGTTACTGTCCCAGGTGGAAGTGCTCATTCATTATTTGGTTTGCAGGAGTGATTTGAGACTTTAAAAACACATTAATTTCTGCCCTGCAGAATTTACAGCTCATTGTGATAGAAAGGCAGGGAGTTTCAGGCAGACTGGGGAACAAAACACAGTTCTTAAAGCATAAGCAGACAGAACTGTGAATTAAGAACACCAGATGCTGATTTTAAGCATCATTCTTGTACATTATTACTTGTAAATATACCGGTGTAGAGAAAGGAATTCATTTTAGAAGGGAGGGAGTACTTTAAAAATCCATGCCTGGCAGTGTCAGGTAAAGACATGTGCAGGATATTTCCCTGCCAGGGGATTGCTCTAAATGAGCCCCTGTATGAGTGGAGTAGAGGCTAGGGTGTACAAGGAAAAACTGGATTATTTCTCAGGTATATTTTAACATCTTGCTAAAGTTAACATACTGTATTTGCCTGTCTGCTGCATTGCTTCATAATCTAGTGGCAGCCTTATTCCCCCATTTGAAAGGGGAATAAGGCTCTGCTCCTTCACTTCTCCAGCAAGTTGCATCAAACTTCCTCATAAATCCTGTGTCTTTGGAGCTCTGTCCCCAGCCTGTTTCCAAGCCAGCCTGTGGCTCTTCCTGCAGTGACTGGGTGTTGTCCCATTTTATGAGCAGGATTCTGCACTCATAACTGGGTTTCTTTCTAGTACTGCCAGCTAGAGCCAACCAGGGATTTTATCTAGTCAGTATTGCAGGGAGATTCAAGACACATCTCTTTGTTTTTCAAAGTAAGGTCTCAGCACTGCCCCCCCCACACTTTCTGTTTTCCCACATGTGGAACATGCCCTGGTGTAGGAGAATGAGGATCGAAGCTGTGCTATATAAACTGTGCCAGATGCTAAATTGCACTAAACTACTTTTCTTCTTCAGGAGATCAGATTCTTCATATTTGTAATTTCAGTATCTTAAAAAGTTGTGGTTTTGTTCTTTATTTAAAGCATAGGGAGTTTACACAAAGAAGAAGGATTCCCCCCCCATTTATTTCCTCCTGACAAAATATATCCAGCCTTTTTTTCCTGTAAACAAGCACAGAAAATGAAAAGATATCAGGTTTTCAGTAGAATAGAAATTAATCATAAATGGAGTTTCTTAGTGGTTAAATGAACTTGAAGATCTTCCTTTCCAGATAGAAACAAGTTTGAAAGTCTGTTCATCATCTGCTTGACATCTCTGTCCTTCTTCTTGTTAGCCCTTTGGGGGAGACACACAGTGAGTGTGTTTTGTTTTTCAGAAGTTGATCTGCCTCTGAAAAAAGATGGGTTCACCTCAGAAAGTACAACTCTGGAAGCCTTGCTGCGTGGAGAGGCAATAGAGAAAAAAACAGACACTAAAGAGGAAGACACTATACAAGAAATCCAGGTAAGGGAGAGCCCCATGCCCTGACATCAGGCTGCATTTTACAATTTGTCTCTAAGTCTAAGAGTCTTTTGTCCTGTGGAAAAACAGTGTATCTGTTGATAGTTGTGTCATTCTACTGCCAAAATGTTATCAAACCTTTGTGCTATGCTGTGATGCTCAAAATGATATCAGTATCTCACACACTTCTCTTGTCACAAGAATCTTTGTTGCTTAACTGTTCTGCACAGGTCATGTGCAGGAACTTATTTTGCAGCACTATGAGATAATTACATAAAAAAACTGAGAAGCTGAGGTGGATCCCAACTATAAACTGAATTTTAATGGTTCACATTTAAAGTGAGTTTCATGGATTTCAATTTGGATTCACAGCTGCTGTAGATTAAAACATGTCATTGCCTTGCCTGTTTTTTTTATTTTTTTTAATAGTACATGGCCTTCTGGAGGTATTAAAGAAAAACAAATATCTAAAACAAGATTGTAATCTTAAATATTTCAATTATTATTAGTTAGGCAGTATGAGAAATATTGCCTTTTCACATGCATTATGGTTATGAAAATTGTCAGGATTTAATTTAATCCTACAACAATTAAAAGCCAAAACACAATTGTAGGTTTGTTAAAGAAGGAATTCAGCTAGTATAAAGGGTTCTTGTATATGGCACTTTTAAAACATCTTGAATCACTAGGAAAGTGGGCCTGTCCAACAGCAGCACATCTTTGCTGATGCTAACACAATTGTGTCATGAGTCTTTTTAGGGATTTTTAGTGAGAGTTATTAGCACTGTGTCAAATTTGGTAATTTTGGGTGAGATACAAAATGTTGCATCTATACCTAAAAGTAGTAAAAATTTGAGGGGTCAGTCCCATGCAAAATGAAGCAGAAAAACATAAACATCAGATCTGTATTGCCTGGAGTTCAGTCCTACTGCTCTATTTGTATAGAAATTTTGCACAGGCAAGGGCAGCACAATTGGGTCTCCCATTCCCAGTTGCACTGGCAAAAGAGCACCATCAAAGAGGAAGCATGCCATGCTCATGGAAAGGGGAAAAGCTTGGCATGAGCCCTGCTCTGTGTTTGCTTCTTCAGTAGTATATCTGGGTCTATGAAGCTGAGAGCTCTTACCAAAGGTCTGTTTTTACCTACTTTCAAGGTCACAAGAAGTCATGGTGCAGCATCCTTATGAAATTGACAAGTGCCTTTGAATGTTGCTGTGTGATCTGAGCTCCCAAATGATCCCCAGTAGCAGTCTGAGGAAAGAGACCTCAGAGATGGTGGAAGTGACATAAATCCAGGCATTGCAGAACAGTGCAAAAAAACCAGAACAGATTTTCAGCTAAACTGCTGTAGCTGTGACCTGTCAACTGGATGCTAGTTTCATCAGAACAGATGCAAAAGGCATGTCTTGCTGCTTTATTTTATGCTAGCATAGTTTATCTGGATTCAGTCTGTAGAACAATGATTGCCAAAGCCTTCACTAGTAGGCAGCTTTCAGTGTGTACTTTGGCACCTGGCAGCTAGACTGTGCCAGATGAAAATCACAATCAGTGCCTTCATCGGTATGACAAATAAGAGATTGCAAATCTCTCCTTTGTTCCTTTGTGTACTTGTCTGTGCTGTAACTCTAAAGGGCCCAGCCTCAATGGTGGTGAGTGAGCAGGTGGGATAGATATCATTGTAATTCCCACCTCAGACCCAGCCACTTGCCACCCTCCCAAATTCACAGTATCTGTCTGGAGAAGACAATTTGGTGCTTGGCTGCACCAAATTACCTAGGGCTGGGAAACTTTTAGAAAGACATAATAGGAAAAGAAAAGTTACTCTGTTAAAACATATAAGGGTTCCCCCTGCTAAACAGATGCAGGTATTGGGACCTGCAGTACAGTTGGTATGTAACATGATTGAGAATTTTACCCTGCAGTAAATTGGTATTGAATATGTATCTCCATTGGTTGATGGAGAAGAGAGTTTGAGAAGAGTTAGAGTAGCCTTCTGACCATGAAGCAGAAAGGTTATGCCCCTTCTATCAAGGATTAAAGTAATTACTCTGGCATTGTCACCAAACTCACACTTGGTTACATATTATCTCTTTCCTAAATTGATGCTTCAATTTTATGGGAAGAAAGTAGTTTGTAATATTTCTCTTAACTGTTGCGTAGTATAATTGTTGTAAATTAGCTTCTTTCCCTCCCACATACAATGTGGTTGCCCCTGTTTTTTTGGGGATTTTTTGAGCTACTTTAAGATATGAAGAAATAGCAAAATACAAACTCACATCAGTAAATTTGCTTATTTTCTTACCTACATTCTTAAAGTCTCCTCACGTACATTTTTCAAGCACTTCATCCTAAGATGAATTCAATTAATGTATGCAGAACTGGAACCTGTTTAACTTTTACACCCTTCAGTATTTAGTACCTCCAGTATTATGTGAAATTGTAGTTCATGATGGTCAGAGCTCATTAATAGCCTCCTGATATTCAAAAATAGAAGAAGCAAAACACTTGATTCTTGTCATGTGCTACAACTTGTTTGAAATGCACTGACGAGTATTAGTCTTAGAAATTTAGTTGATAAAGTAAGAATAAACTTTTGTAACTGATCTTCTAAATACAGACTTTTTGAAAGTTGAAATTTCTGTTGTATTCTTTCCCACAAATTCAGAATTTGGTGCTTGAGGTATGTGGAAAAGAGAGAAAGAGACTGATTTTCTCCTGTTCCCCATGTGCTGGCTCTCAAATAGCTTTAAAGTAGAAATTAGAGAGAAGGGACAAATACAGTAAGACTGAAGAACATTCCTATCATTTTGATGTCACTATTTGACTCTGCATTGTGGCTGTAATTTAAATGAATGTTAGTATGGCAAAGGTAAGTTAGTGATTCCAGATTAGTCCCTTGCAAAATGGCGCAGCACCATAAATGGCAGGAGTGGCTGGAGCCAACTTCTGTATTTCTAGCAGACATGCCAAGGGTTTGAGGGAATGTCAATGAGACTTCTTCTCACATTAGTATTGTGGTGATTTGTCTGGCTTTTTTCCATGTGACATCTGACTCGTACATGTTTTCATGCAGGACAGCCAGCCTGTGTTTGGTTCTGTAGAAGTTACATTTCAATAGGTCAAATTAAAAGATTGAAGTTGCCTGGGCCTAGGCATCTCACAGTTTTGTGAGCTGTAATTCCTCAGCATTCTCATTCAACAAACTTTCTGCTTCCAGATTAGAGTTGTACCTGTGGTGCAAGCCCTACAAAACATGGCTTTCTAGATCCATTCTGGAATATATGGAGTAATTTTCTCTATTTTTGCTCAAGAGAGAAGATTGTGAGCTACCAAGGGGAAAACCACTGGTTTTATATTCCTGAAGTACACTCTCAACATTAGAAGAAAACAAAATAATTTAAATTGCAACAAATGAAAATAAAAAGCCCAGGCAAACAAATTCCCAGACAGGGCCTGCAGTTATGCATACTAATATTTGTTTTGTCTTGGAAAATTGGTGCTCAGTGCTGCCAGTATTTGTTCTTAGGAACCTTTTTATCATAGTTGACTGATATCAGTAGTAGTTTTTTAGTAGGAATTCCCTGGAGATCTTAGGGTGGAAAAGAGAGAAAATTTTGCTTTGGTAGAGAGAAGCACGGGTACTGGGATCTGATTTGGCTTTATATCAACTGTAATAAGCCACAGTCACTGTGGTAAAGAGCAGTAGTTGGTTTTGTGTGTCCTCCTTTTTTCTTCTAACCATTCCTGTTTGTTGTTCAACCACAGAGGGTTTTAGAAAATGATGAAAATGCAGATGAAGTGAACGAGGAAGAAGACTTGGAAGAAGATATTCCAAAACGAAAGAACAGGCCTAGAGGACGGGTAAGTGGAGAGTTTATTGGAATGGAAAGGAGGGAAACAAACCTCTGCAGAAATATAGTGTATATTTCTCATGTGTATTATGTATGCAAAGTATTTGTCCATGAATATCTGATAGTGATTACACTATAGGTAATTTTCAGTCGTATGTAATAGATTTTTAATATTTTTTTCAGTTTACTTTTGTGAATTGCTGTGAAAGAAAAGGACTATTTTGAGAGTAAAAATTTGGGGGAAATTTATTTTAGTGTTGTATTTACAATTGTAATGTAAACTGTAATAACTATTATGACATCCTGCTATTACAATGCTCCTTAAAAAAACCTTTACTAATTACAGAAAAGCAGCAAATTCAGTTATGACAGCGAAAAAAGTATTAATAAAAGTAACTTGAACAGTGTTAATAAGTTTTGCAACTTTCTCCAGGGTAGCATTTTGTGGTTGACACTGGCTCTCTTGAGCCCATGGCAAATCTTCCATTTGCTTGAAAAGGGCAATATTTTATCCTTAGGGGACTCTGTGTCCCTTCTCTTACCTAAGATGTCTTCACAATTCATCAGGGTACCAGTTAAATAATGGAATCAACATTTTCAATTGTGGGCCCGTAAGCTAGGCATCTAAATAAATGTGAACACAAGTCTCAGAAATTTTGAGCTTTTTCATCTCTCTTTGGCTCCAGTGGATGCTGCAGGGGCACAGGAGCTCTAGATGTACCTTTTGATGTGTTTATAGAAGTCAAGCAAGAAGGGCCACATTTTAGGCCAAATGAGCAGAATATAATAGTTTTTTAATAAAAGACATGAAACCACATTGAATACTTGCAATGTACTTATGCATCAGACCCTCTCTTTTGGTTTCCTCTTTGGTTGTTGTGTTGTTTCAGTTTTCTGCTCCTCTTTATTTTGGAGCTTAAGTCCTTTAATATAAGATCAAAGCACTTTAATAATTGGATAAGTATATATATCATCTTCCTTATTCTCAAAATCACCTGAACCAGTTTCTTTCTTTCTTTCTTTCTTAGCCAAAGACCCCCACCTGGAAAAAAATTTTCCAGAAAAATGTAAGTTTCAGAAGATTTGTATGAACCAGTAACCAAAACCAGGAGATAGAATCAATACATGCACATAAGCTTGACTGTAGCAATCAACTAATATTCCAGGCTAACAACTCTTTTCTAATAAGTTGCTCTCATGTAAATTGCACATGCTGGATAGGGTGAGTGAAAGGGAGGGAAGAGATAGAAGAAATATACTGCTCAGGAGAATGGGATTTGGTGTATTCATATGTCCCAGACCTGTACAAACAAAGTCCTGAAGTTAGTGTTACGTGCAAGATTTTGCTTCCCCGTTCAGGAAAATGTTCCAGAATTTTTTCTCTGTTACTCTAAGGAAAGGAGTTGGAGGGTACTAGATGTCCCATTCATTTTGAAGCATGCATTTATATTTTATTTTCTGCCCTAGAACTTGCCCCCTGTTAAGTACAGAAGCAGCAGGATTGCTTGCTTTTTTCTTGCAACTAACTCCTGCTCTGCTAGTGCCCTGGCTTCTTTCAGTGCAAAAAAGAGAAGTCTGAATAATACCACATACTTCAAGTAATGTTTAGTTTTATTTGATGGCATCAATAACCAAAGCAAAATGTAGTAGAAATTAGAATTTCAAAATTGTGGCCAGGTTATCTAGCTGTTGAAAACTGGTAAGCCTGAATTGCATCTGGTCACAAGAGCTTTGCCAGTTTCCTAAAGGCAGCCCTTTTCTAGCCTGATTCAGTGTAGGGAATTGAGGCTAAGGATTTAAAATTAGGTGACATGAAACCTGGGCTGCTCTTTGTTTCTAGGAAGGACTTGGTTAGGGTAGTTTTAGAGGGCAGAAGAAAGGAAGGACATGCATAGGAAACAAGATCGTGTGGAGTGTGACCTTTGGGGATTCAGAGGAGTGAGAAGGACTAACAGCATAAATGCAGGATTAATGCAATGGAATTACTGCTCTGGACTTTCCAAATTGCACATGCCACTTCCTTTCCCTACAGCATGATTTTATTTTTAATCCTGGACTCTCCATCTGTCTTTTTGGCTACTCTCTCTGGCTGCTTCAAGGTTGCTGGGCCATGGGTCCAGGCCTCACACGTCAAGTCTTGTAGTCTTTGCTGCATCCTGTCAGGAGAATAAAGGCAGCTGTGGATGACTGAATTCAACAGCCTGGAGCACAGACAGCAAGCACGGGGCGTTCAGTTCAGTGCCTCTGGGGCAGCTGCTTGGTTTCCTGTCCCCTCAAGGCTAGCCCATGAAATCATGGGGGCATAGGAAGGACACAGAAGGCTGAAGAGGTAGATCTACAGAAAGAGATTTTTAGTGTTTTTGCTGGACAGGGGCAATGTGGTAGGAGCTGGCAGGGTGGTTTTCTAGGAGATATGAGATGTACGCAGATGCACCTGCACAGATTGTCTGCTCATCAGCTGGATATCCCGTGGGACAATTTCAAAGGCACCAAGCACATTTAGGAACCCAAGTCCCATTGAAAGTCATTGACTTGAAAAATCTCCCCTCTGTGTTCATTGCATGAAAAAGTGTATCTGACACGTGGTCATGCCATGAATGCTGTGCCCCTGCATTTCTGTAGAGAACAGTTTGAAAGGGAACAGCTGACTGTAAGACAAGCAAAATTCTGAGAAACAAACCCTAAATTAGTATCATATTCTGAAATGTACCTATGTAAAATATTACCTTCTTACTCAACAGGTATGTTCTCAGAGTGTGAATAGAGTCAGAGCTACTGACTAGTGACAAATATAAGACTTCACATCTTTTTCATACCCCTGAAAAACCAATGCAGCTGGTAAAGTGGGGAAATTGGATCCTAATCTGGGTACCAGCAGAAATATTTATAAGGGCCAATCACTTGTCTATGTGAAGATTCCCTGATGAGTTGAGGGTTGTGGAGGAGCTGCCATGGACTGAAATTCAGCTTGCAGCACATTTAGCAGTAGTAAGGGAAGAAAAGAACTAGCCTGGGATTGATTTCATTGCCCAGAGGGGGTTTAAAGAGCTGGCAGTCAGAGAGAAAATAGTGCAGACTAGTAAGATGATTTTACATGATACAGTCAGTAAAGAAGCTTCCGCCAAACAGTTGTTGCTGAGGCCATTTCTAAGGTGAAACTGCTTTTCAGTTCACCCTTACAGATCTTGCTCTGCACATGTGTGCTGGACTGCACAGAGGTCTTTGCAGAAGGCAGAGTTATCCTTGTCATACATAATAGTATTTACCCCATCCAGATAGCTGCAAATCCATGTCTCTCCTTTGGGACTGTGTTAAGAGTTAGACCTGAGCAATCCCAGAGAAATAACATGTTAGGTTTTTATAAATCCTGGTTTTAACAGACTTTGTCAGGCCAGTGTAAAACTGTTCCTTATTACTTCTCTTTAAATATCCAGTGGAACACATTTCTAATAGTGCTAGTTCTGTTCCAAGCTCATAGGAGAGAGAAGTTTCTATGGCCCCTTTATGGCTGAGTGCGAATATTCTCAGGATTTCTACACCTTCTTCAGCTTTACCTAACAAAGCTCTGTCCTTTTCGTATTTTCACATGAAAAGGCTTGCAGGATTTGAGTCAGGTGGCCTTGTCTAGAGTGAGAAATATTAACAGCTTAATAAGAGGACCAGCAGAAGAAATTCTGTCATTTTTTCCAGGAATAGAGTAATTAGGAGAATTAATAAAGAACTATTTAGCCATCCACCTGTGATCACTTCCTCAAACAAAGATCAAGTCTAAAATTATTGTCATTTACAGACTGTACATTAGTGAACATGAAAGAATTGAAGGCCTTGGCTCAGTTCCCAGTTTCACATCACAACTCCAGCACTGGGCAGATATGAGCTGTTTCCTTGTTGGAATCTCAGCTGAGAAGGGTCAGGATTGAGTAGTTTTGATGCTGAATTCCACTCTCAGCCCTGGAGCTCAAGACAGAGCAGTCTGTGCTGTGGAGAAACAAAGTTTTTCAGTTTCTATAGCTGCCAGTTTGGTCCATTTTAGGAACACAGAACTGCAGAGAGACATTTCTGGGTAATTTCTGTTATTGCAGGTAGCCACATTATCTAATCTTTTCCACTAACTGACCAAAGCTCCATTTTATAATTAGCCACAATATCTTTGTCCCAGAAGGCCATTTCAACACACTTCTTTTCAGCTAGAAAACAAAACATAGCAACACAAACAATGCCCCTTTGAAAATACTGAAGGAAATAATTTGACCTCTCTTTTATTTGAGGCCTGTTTTCTGGCTGATTTAATGTTTGTGTATATTCTTCAACACCTGTTCATCTATTCATTCGTTCATATTCAGTTCAGCAAGGTATTTGAATATCTTCACAAATGAATGTGTGATGATACTCGACTGAATATGTGCTGGCAGTAACTACTGCTATGGATGAACAGTATGAGCCATCTGTGGAGAGGATCTCCATTGCTTTACAAGGTCCATTAACACAGAGCACATCTTAGGAGATGGAGGGTCAAGACCACTTTGAGAAACCTGTATGGAAGCTGAGGATTTGTTTAGTTTATACTGCACATCTTTCATAGGAGGGTGTGGGGTGCAAGGAGACCCGGGGGGTGATGGAATAATGCTAACATTCCTCTTGTCCTTGCAGGCTCGGGGATCTGGAGGGGGCAGGAGACGGAATGATGCTGCCTCCCAGGATGATCATGACAAACCCTATGTTTGTGACAGTAAGTAGCAACCAGACAGCTTATTCTGCTTCCAGCCTGGTCCTACCAGCTCAGTGCACTCAGGGCTTCATATATTACAGCAAAATATTCTGCTGCTCTCTGACTTGCATGTTTGCCACCTGCTGCTGATGCTCTTGGTGTTTTTGCATGAAGGAAATAAAATTAAGTTCTTGGCAAGACTCCACTTTCCTTTGCCCTTTAATAAATCATCTCTTATCTTTTCTTTCTCTTTTTCTGGCTTCTCTGCCTTTTGTCTTCTTTTCCCCCATGTAAATTTCACCCTCTATTTCTTTCTCTGTTTCAGATAGTTACAAACAAAAGCATAACTCAAAAATCTCCGACAAAGGTACTTCACCCTTGTTGTGTCTCTTGATATATTTGGTGATTCTCCTCCCTTCAGTCCTTTTAAAATCTCACTGGGCTAAATTCTGAAGGTCTTATCCCTCACCAGATGTCTTGTGGCATCATCAAAAGCTGAGCCCTTCTAAGAAACAAATAACATCTCGAATGCTTTCTTTTGATACATATTCCCTTTGAATACAGTCCTGCTGTTTGGTATCTTGCAGTTGGACTTCAGGTGAAGCAAGGCATTGTCTGAATGGAAAAATTATACTAGAGCCCAGCATCAACACTGAAGGAGGGTACCAGAGTCCCAGTATGAGTGAGGAGTCTAATATTTGTTATGCAATTGTTTGGGGTTTTTTTTACAGTCTAGTCCTTGATGCCTTCCTTCTTCTTTTGATATTCTTTTTTGCTTCGTTTCTGTGAAGGGCACTTATCTTACCCACATATTTTTGAGATATCCCATCTTAAGGCTTATTCTAGAACGTACATCCAATTGTAATTTGTGCTACCACGTGCCTTCTAGCCTGTAAGACAGTAACCTAAAAAAAGTCATTAGAAGTAGGAGAATAGCAGATCTTCACTTCTGTTGTCCAAACCAGCTGGTTTTGAGGACAACTAGAACCCCCTTTTTGCCTATCTTGCAACGTTACCGACCTTAAAATAATAACTCTTGCTGTGTCAATCTTTGGAGGGATTTTCTGCTGATTTTTAAAAACGTGAGGAAATAAGGAGTTTACATGGTGAATAAGAACTATATTCCATGTGAAATCATATTCTTGTATGGTGAGACTAGGTGACTGTATGTGCCCAGAAACCAGAAGACTTGCATATGAGGGGGACATGACAGATGATAAAAACATAGTCAAGGAGGAAGAGCCCTTAAAGTTATGAAGAGTCAGAAGACCTACGCTGTGGTTAAATAGCAGTCCTAGTGCACTGGAAGAACTAAAAAGTGTCTTCTAAGACTTCTGTGAGAGCCCAAGATGTATCTTGTTGAAATCCACCGGTTTCCTTTGCTGGTGGTATATGCAGTATATGCATATCTTTCTTCATCTCTTTTCTGGAACGTCCTTCTAAATCCAAGGACACTTGTCAGTGGTAGTAATTTGGAACACGATGACTCTACATTGTCTGATCTTGCACTGCTTTTGGATTTTACCGTGAACTCCCAACGTGCATAGTAGTGATTTGCACAGAGTAGATTAAACATTGAAGATATCAAAGCAGGCAGCAGAAATCTGGCCTGAAGTCAAGACTCTCATACGTTGTTGCATTGACAGAATTTGCCTTGGCTTACATTTTGGAGCATAAATTTTATCTTTAATGTTGGAAATGTTTCCTATTTCCTATTTTTCATTTGGCTGACACCTTTCACTTTTAGGAAACTTACAGTTACAGGTGAGTCATAAGGAATTTTGGACTCCAGACTTTGCACAGTGACTTCTCCTTTTCCATTTTAGATAGCTGATAAAAAGGTTATATGACAGCAGAACTCTTTTATCTGAGTTAAGAGAAGAAGGGAAGAACTGTCCCAGTTGTAATGTCATCATCCTGAAGAATATCCTGCCCTTGTTAAATTTCTATACAAACATGACATGCCATTAATTATGAGTAATTGGCCTATTAGCCTGTTTGGGTGGATTTCTTGGATTTATTTTTTCTTTGAAATGATTTGATGAATATTTTTGTAGATAAAACTCAATCTAATTGTGGTAGTTTAGAAATTGGTTTGCAGTATTCCTTGTGCAGATGTTGTGGGCAGATAAGTTTGTTTTACATGGAAACATGCAGGTGAAACAGTGTATATGTTTCCTGTTTGGGAAAGCATTATTCCCTCAATTGCATTATGGGTATAAATAATTAGCTTAATGGGCCAACAGTTTGCTTCTTCTGCAGTCTATTTAATTTGCCTCCAGGTTGCTTTTTCTGCAAGTATACTGATATTTGAGTTTTGAAAATGACCAGAGAGAAGAAAGCATAAACACAGCTAAACCAAATTAATTTTCTTATAAACTGCATGGGCACAAAAAATGATTTGTGGTCAAAAACTTTGTGGTCTGTCCTTTTATCATATTTACACGTTCATATTTATGGTAAACAAGAATATATCAACAGATCTCATCAGTTATAAAGGGGTTTTAGAAAACAACTAGGCAGTGTGTTGGTAAGACGATGCAAGTGTGATGCCCAGTGGCACTGCCACTTATGCTGGAAAATAGCAATGTTACCTCTGAAAAGACCTGACTTTTTCTGTAAGAGGCATTCAGACCTACATCACTATTAAACTTGGTCCCAATATTAAAGCTGACTGGAAACATGCAATTTCTATGTGATAAAGGTTTTCAAAGCTCAAAATATTTTGTCCTCTTGTGTTTTTAAGAAGAGGTGGTTGGATGCCTCTTTTGTGGAATGGAACATTCTGAAATACTTCAGCTGGTTTTACTGAGCATATACTCTAGTAGAAGTTCAGAATAAAATATTTGATCAAAGCATCAATAAAACTGCTAGGATAATCATGAAATGCATTGTTTCATCACATCACCAAGTAGAAAACTTGGTGGTCAGATTTTCAGCCAGTTGCATTGGATTGTGCTGTGCCTTGAGCTCCCTTGGGATGGCTTCAATTACAACAGTGGCAGGCAAGTCTGGTTGGAGATGGGTATAAACTGCAAATGGTAACACAGCCAAATGGCTTAGCAGCTGTATGACAGCAGTCCCAAAAGTAGCTTGAGCACCTGGCAAGGAAAGGCAGCAGGTGCCTCAAAGAAGAGTGGAAAGTAGAGCTTGAAAAGCAAAGCAAAGCCTCTGATGTCAAACAAGTGGAAGGTAGACCACCACCACTGTTCCTGATGAACAGGGCATGTGATTTTTAAAGGGACAGAGTGAATGAATAAATGAATACCTACATGTTTAATATAAGAATTGATGCCATTTCACTGTCAAATATTCAGCTGGGGAATCATTCCTACTGAGCAGTCTTCTTAGAAATCCCTCTACTATTTTATTAGTGTTTATTATATATTACTTACTACTTTTTCGAAAGAAAAACCTTCTCTGAATTTGTATCTAGAAATTTGTATTCTGGTTTTAAAGTTGCAATCAGTTGTGGCACTTGAGTTCCATGATTCCAAATGTCTACTTCCTTTAGCCAGAGAAGTTAGTCTGTGCTGAATCTCTGCAAGCAATTAACTTTCCTGCTGCCCCTCCTCACTTTTATGCTTTCATTCTTCTCAAGTTCCTATGGAGACATGGGACTATGTACATACTTCCACCTTTGTTTTCTGTTCCACTGTCTACGGAAGAATTCCCTTGCCCTCCTCTAAAAGAAATTATTTCTTTTCCTTTTACCAATATGTCCTCATCTCCTTTTAGTTTTATTCCCATATAAACTCCTATTTTAGCATAGCAACTTATATCATATTCTTTTTTTTGTAGTCCTTCTGAGACTGAACTGTACATTCAGATCCATTCCTTGTGCAAAATGAGCATTGACTGAAACCTTCCTAGGATTTTTGATGGATCAGTGACTAACGCAGCATTGTATGTACCCAGAGACACTGATCTTGTAGTATTCTGTAGAAGCTGATTCTTCCCTCAAGAACCTAATGTTAAGGTTTCTCTAGTTATTTACCTACATTCTCTCTGCTGAAGTCCAAGACTAGCAGTCCTTGTACTGTTCTCGAGGGAAAATAACAATGTCTTCTATGTCTGTAAACAGTTACTGGGGCTTCTTTCAGCTGTGTTTTCTTCAGCTCTTCTACTAAGCTTGTTTCTTTCATGTGGAAAAACTCCAAAGTACTTTTTAAAGTAGTAGTGGCCAGAACGAAGTTAAACGTGCTGTTCTGAGGAGAGATGCATTTCTGAAGATGAGTGGTTGATAGATTTACTTGTACTTACAATTACTTTTACAAACTGTATTTAAGAAACTTGCTCTGTTATATATCCATGAGAGGCACAGAGATGGCTGACCTAATAGGTTATTCAGTAATCATCTCCTGGTATTATCCTTTCTCGTGAATCCCTAAATAGATAAGCAGTAAGATCTAGAATAAGATGCTTGTTCAGATGTACTCAACAAACAACTCTCCCACCATATCTACTATTCTTGGCATCCTTTGAATACATTATTGGTAGAAAAGACAAGATTAGATAGGTAAGGACATTAAAAAAAATTAAATACTGAATAACATAGATGTTGAATAGAGCACATGGTAAAAGGGAAACAGAATTGACTCTGGCAGTTGAACATTTTCTGCTCATGTAGAATATTTGTTTTCTCCTTTGCTCTGGCTAGCAACCCATTTATTGAAATGTGCACAGCTGTATTGTTGAGCTGCACATGTTTTGGGGTTTGAACTGGGGTTAAGAGTTACTGTGATCTTAATACAGCAGGGAGATTCTGGGACTTGTCCTCTGGGGGCACTGAAACAAGGACTATTTACCTCCCTATTCTACCTGCAGAAAATTCCCTATGGAATGGGATGCTAAATAGCTGCTCTCATACTACAGGTGTACAGTGTGACTATACTATAGTGTGTGTAGTACTGAGCAAAGAGGGATGAATGTGAAGTCTTTGTATCAGTGGAGGTCAAAATGCATTTAATGTTTGAGATCTCTAAATGTGCCAGAGTTTGTACACAACTGTAACAGGAGAGAATATATTACCAAACTGGTGCAAAACAAGGACAGGGGGATTTTTTTGTCTTTTTTTTTTTTTTTTTTGAGTGGAGTGAATGGTAGGACAGAAGAAATGGCTTTGAGAAACTTTGAGAAATGGCTGCCTGCCAGAAATTAACTCAAGATTTAGTATTTGACATAGTACACCTGAGAACAAGGAACAGGAGACAGCAGAGAAAAGCAAAGAAAGACAATGAGGGGGACAAAATTCAGTGACCAAAAAAAAAAAAAAAAACCAAACCCAAAAAAACCCCGGCATATACTCCTCCAGTTTCCTGTTTCCACTGGAAACATGGAATGTTTCCTTCTGTCTCATACTGGTGACAGATTGTGCAAAATGTATGTGGAGAGCTGGCTGGAACACAGATCACAGGCTGCCAAGGACCAAATGTGTAACTATTTCAAAATGACAGCAACACAGCCATTAGATATTTGATGAGGAAATCTTTTAAGTCATAGGTTTCAAATCCCCTTTTTAACAGGGGAGGTATTTTATATTAATTTTAATCATTGAGAAATATAAACAGAGTGAGAATTTGCTTATCCAATGAATTGCAGGGTGCTACAGTCCAGAACATAGAAGAGAGGTCTCTTTTGTGAAACACTCAATGCTTGCAATTATACTGTTTTCCCCCCCATAATGTAGTTGTGCAACATCTTAATATCAGTCTTCAAATTTGAAGGAAAGTAAGGTTTATCATAGGAGAATGTTTGGTGGCCTCATAAAAAAAATCTCTCCCTCTTCCCCATTTGTGACATTTGGTCTGCACTGCTGAATTGCTGCTTACTTACCCAGCTTGTTCCTAAGGCAGTATTCACATCAGCTCATAGCAACAATATATCCTTTGAATGCAGGAGGATTTGGAGTGGGTTATGTTCTACAAACTCCCACTGTTTTTATTGAGCTTGGCCACCTAATTAAAGATCAAGTCAACTTCCCAGTGTTGAGATTCAGGATGAAATCTACCACATGCAAGGATGACGAGCCTATCCAGCAAGGGAAATTGAAGATAAAAAAGTCAAAGCTGCTGAAAGGAAGGCCACAGGACAAAGTTTATGAAAGGCACACTCTCACTTGCTATGTGTGAGCTGCATAGTGTTAAAAACTAATCAACAGCATGCATCTCAGACTGGGAGAACCAGTTCTCATTACGCTTTTGTCAGCTCTAAGAATGAGAAAGATGTGGTGTAAGCACTGGTGTGGATGCTGGAACTCATGCATTCCAGTCCTGGTAATGAAAAAAGATCACTGTGTGGGCAACTCAGCCCCTCTGCGGTTCTCTTTTTTCAGAACTGAAATGAGAATAGTATTTCCCACCCAGGAATGTGGAGGAAGATTAATTAATGTTTGAAAAGCCAGTCTGCAGTGGGAAGAGTTATATAAGAGCTGAGTGTTTATTAATGATCACCCTTTTATAGAAACTACTTCTTAGCACAGTGATACAGTAGATTAATAAAATGTGCTCTTACCTGGAAAATAAGAGATTTGGGTGAATTCAGGAAGATTCAATCTGTTGGAGAATCCATGAAGTTTTGATTTAGCTTCCATTCTAGCAAAGTCTCACTGCAGCCAATGCTTCTTTTGCCTGACTAATATCATGACCCTTTTCCCTCTGCAAAAGTCTGATTTGTTTGAGGAACATGAAATCTCTGCAGTTTCAGCTCATGGCATTGCTTCGGACTCTTTTATGGCACAAAGTGAATTTGAAAAATGGAAAAATCTAGACACCAAGAACAAAGGCTGCTGGAACTGCAAATCTTTGGTCCTACAAAGGATCTGCTAGGACAATGTAAACCAGATTTATTTGCCTCAGCTCTGGTTATGAAGTCCTTCAAATCAATTTCTCACAAGGCATGTCAGAGATTGCTGTCACCCTTGAAGGCCACCTGTAAGTCCTCACAATGGAAAGGACTCAGCTGCAGAATTACTACTGACTCAGCTTATATTGATACTTGCTTTTTCCTGGTGAGCTGATACTTTTTTGCTGAAGAAGGACGAGTCTGCAGACCCATCTGATTTCCTATGTCATCCTTAACACCATAGCTAAAATCCCTGCAGGATTCTGTAATGAATGGAGTAAACGCCACCATTTTGGGACTTGCTGCAGGGAATGCAAATCTCCTTTTGTGCACTGATCACGTGATAGTGTCCTGGAAATAATTTGACAGAAGTCTTTGAGCAGTATTGGTAATTCATAGGAATAGAATTATTTTTTAGCATTCTTCTTCAAACACATAAAAGTAAGTGGGATAGAGTAGGATACTTGATGAGCCGATCCAGCTCATCTAGCAGATGGTCAATCTGCTAGAAATGTAAATCTCTTTCTCCATTCTAAGTAAAGCTGCAACATTTATGTAATTAGAGGAGGTTACCATTATAAAAGAATTTAAGCAGTGAGCTCTTTCTGGGTTGATGATTACTTAAGTGTTATGCTTTTCCACTATTCCAAATATGGGGAAAGTCACACAGAACTGCTGATATCTTGTTGTTTTGACTCTTGTTCAGCATCTGTTCCACTGCTTGTCCTTTGCCCTGCAGGACCACAGAGAAGGAGAAGTAGTTTCCCTCTCCAGAATGCACTGGAAGAAAACAAGGATGGTACTAGAAGAGGGAGTCTGAACTGATGTTTTGTGGAGAGCATGCATCTAACAACAGTCTAGTTCTTCAAAATGTCTGGCAATTCTGTTAGGTTTACATATGAAAAATGAAGGCAGATGCTTCAAAGAATGGATGTGCATATCTATATAAGTATTTTAGTTCTCTCAATATTGCCTCTTCCCTCCTGCAGGAGGTCTCATTTCTAAATCAAGGCCATTCAAAGACTTAAAAAATCTGTGACTGAGGACAGGACATATTGCACTTCCAAGAAACTTCTGTCTTGTTTGATGATTCTGTGATCATCACCTTGCATGATGAAGAAAACTGGGAAAAAGTATCTAATATTCCAGATCACTCATATGTATCATGAGCTTGTTTTACATGTTTCTAATAAAGAAAAGCATTTGCCTTGAGGGAGTTTGTAAATCAGAAGAGATTAAGAATGAAATATATTATTGTAATAAGCTTTTATTTACAGTTTTTTATAATCTGTTCCAAAAGGCAGAACATCAGTTGGTGTTTTCTGAGTAGTAGCAGAAAGGAATAAAATTTTAAATTTTATGTATACATAAATGAATAAATGGGATGAGGGTGGTTGTTGTGTGGTTGTTTTGGTTTTTTTTTTTAATTTTTAAAAAATTTATTTGTGGAGTCTTTGACATTCCCAGACTCAGGTGTCTGGAGAATGGGAAGTAAGTATCTGTATATGTTGCAGGATACGTATTGGGGCCAACTTAAGCTTTTAGGAGTGGATGGTCACAATGCAGGACAGACTGCTGGACATGACATTTATTCCTGTGTGAAATCCTTGAGGTTAATTAAGGTGACTGAAAAAGTCTCTGGGAGGAAAAAATTGCAAGAAGGGCACTAAACTTTTTGTCTTTGTTTTCTAGTCTTTTAAAATGGCAATATTTGTATTTGGTAGACAAAATAGCTGTATAAAAGAAAATAAACATTCAAAAAATGCTTTGAAGATGGAAAGTGATAAATTTTTGAGACAATAACATGAATTAAAAACTTTATAGAAAATCAATTCATAAAACTTTATAGAAAATCAATTCATATCTAATGAATCTTGTGATGTTGCCTGCCCTTGCTAAGCTCTCTGTGAAAGTGTAGACCTTTCATCACCCCAAGCTGTTTGATTCTGTCCTTAATATCTGTTGACTTAATCCTACAATAAATGAAAGTTCAGAAGCAGTATTCTCTGTCATATATTGCATTGTTCATTGGAGTTTACCTGGGCAAATAAGTATCACTACCACATGTTTTTTAGCAAGAATCTGTGGATGATTTCCATCTACTTGTCTTAACTAGTAATCTGTGAATAAAGCTATTTATTAACCTCTTAGAGAAAGCCTTTAAAAAAATCACAGCTGTTTCCTTTTTTCAGAGATCAGTAATGAAGAAAATGATGTTGTTTCTTCTCAGTCTTGTTCCCATTACTGTGCACTGTGCAGCACCACCACTGGAACTGGCATTTCATTTAATTTTATGTGCAGTCTTGTTAGTAATCTTAGCAGAGAGGATTAGGGCTCTGTGATCTGCAGGGACTGAATCCATTTGCCTAGGCCTGTGAGAAGGACTGCTGGCAGCATGGTGGGAAGAAAGCTTGTTTGGAGACGTGCAGCTGCAGGGCTGCCTCTGTCACCTTTCACCAGTGCTGGCTGGAAGGATTTTGGGCAGGTGCATGGAGTGCATGGTGCTGTTCTCAGGGGAAAGGGAGCATTATTTGAGAGGATGCTGCTGTGGTTGTAGATCACACTGATGTTTCCGTTCTCTCTTCCCCTTCCTCATATCTCCTTTCCATCCAGTCTGTGGCAAGCGTTACAAGAACAGGCCTGGGCTAAGCTACCACTATGCTCACACCCACCTCGCCAGTGAAGAGGGTGATGAAGCCCGTGAGCAGGAGACCCGCTCTTCCCCCGTCCACCGAAATGAAAACCACAAACGTGAGTAGGATCTTCCCTTTGCCTTTGAGATCCTTTTCAGGGCTGTTATCTCCAACCTGTCTTTGCCTTGGGGAGGTTGATGTTATTGCCTAGCTCAGTTGTGAGTGATTGGGATGTGGATGCTTGGAGCTAATCAGCCGCAGCTCACACGGGTGCTGGCTCAGCTAGTCAGGAATTCATTTCAAACCCAGCATTATCTCTGCGGCAAGTCACTTTTCCATTACTGCTCCTGTGGGGAGGAGGTGGCAAGGAGAGGGGGGAAAAGAAGAGATGGCCAAGCTGCCCATCATCAAGCAGCCTCCCAGAGGTTCTTAGTAAGGATGCTGAAGAAATACACATCCAGTCGTTTCAGGGGGCTGCCTTTGTTTTGCCTTTAAATAAGATATTTATCAATGTCTCAGTTTTTCAGTATGAAAATAACCACCTTTCTCCCTTATACCTTCACCTACTGCATAAACAGCTTACCCTCCACTTTGCCAAAAACTGCTCCTTAGTTATGGTTTGATAAAAGCTATGAAAACACATCAGTACTGGTTTGCAAGGAGGAGAGCAGGAACGTGAAAGGAGAATGTGCCTCAATTTCCCACACTGGTACAACACTAAAAGAGATCTAAGTGGTCCAAATCTTTCTGTGATGAATCACATATGCTCAGTGTGAGCATAAGGTCCATGACCCTGTTTGACTGTCCCTTCTGTGCTCCTTAGGCACACAACAGAAGTCAAGGATGCTGTGTTCTATTACTGATTTTTACAAGTCTCTAATCCCCTGTTTCTCAGTTTTATATACTATGTGATGTTTGCTGTGACCTTGGAATTCGTGTAGATAGCTTTGTTCACTTTCAAAAAGTTCTTTTGGATCAGCATATGATCTGTGTTATTTTTGTTCAAAGTAATAAAGCAATAAAATGCTTACAGGGAAAAATATGCAGGAAAACACTTTCTAATACCTTAAGAACTGCAAGAAATATGGAAGTAGGAAAACATTTTTTTTCTAAGTGGTATAATTGATAATTGTCCCCAGGGAAGTGTGGGAGGGGGGTTCCTTCCTCCAAAGCATCTGCTACTAGCCACTGTCTGAGCTTGAAGGACTGTTTAGTGTGATCCCATTTGGCAAGCTCTATGTTTCTGTCACTTTTATGCTCTACCTTTTAGTTATTCACATGTTTGGTAGATTCACAGTAAAAGTAATTTTGACTCCTCCAGCTGTTGATAAACTTGAGCTGTCAATGCACTAAGAGTGACTGCTTGGGCAGGCAGGGGAACGTCAGTGTTCACCCAGCAGCTTTTGTTTACTTAGCATTTACATCCATTTTGGGTTTTTTTTTAGTTGGTTGGTTGTTTTTTCTTGTGCCTGGAGTAGTCAGTAATAGTTACATACCTGAGAGGAATATTGCAAATCTGTTTTGAATTAATATTGACAATGGTCTTGCAATAGATGCCCAAAAAAAGAAAGGTAGTGTCCTATACCCTGAATTCAGCTTGACATAGGTGCCAAGGGGTCTCAGTCCTTGTATCTGGTGCTTAATAAATGATAGAAGTTAACAAGAAGACCTAGAAGAGCTATGGTAAGGTTAGGAGCAGCTGACTTTGGCCCATGATAAAAAAGGTGCATTCTACACTGCGGGAAAGAGTAGCATGACAGCTGCTTGGGCTTGTGTTCCCCCAGAGCATGTGGCAAAGGGAAGCTGCTGATGCACAGATCCACAAGCGGGCAGAAATTTAGAACCATTGGAATAAACCTCTGTGATGCCCAGATTCCTGAGTGGAAAGAATAACCAGCCAGGAGCCAGTGAGCTATGGGCAACAGCCATGCAAATGTGCAGATCAGCCTTGGGGAAAGTCCCAGATGCTGGAAGGTAACTGTCCCAAATGGCTGAGCTGTCACAGTGGCTGTTTGTTCCCTTTTTGCCTGTTTGTTTGTTTAGAGCCTTGAGCTTAGATCTTGCATCTTTGCACTTCCACTTGGCAATATTTAATTTATGCTGCCATTTATCTTCCATGTGAATGCTAATTGTCCACATTGCTAATGTGCAGTCATTAAATGGTCCCCTTGTACAGGGGGATGGTGGGGAGCCAGAGCATCAGATCCTTCCTCTCCCCTAAGAACTGCTAGGCATGTGTTATGAATTAGATTTGACAGGTCTGCGGCATCGTAGGTCTCGAGCTTCAAGAGTCCTCTCTGCATGGGCTTGGGGGGTGGGGTAGGTGGGAGGGAGGGAAGGCAGGGGGATGTTAATCCAAACAGCTAATCTGCAACCCACTGAGCAGGAGGACCAGAGATATGGTGTAGAGTAGGATCTGGTTATTTGCTGAGCAGTGTGTTAGAGATACGAGCAGCCTGATTTAGAAGAGGCAGGGCAAATCAAAGCGGCCATTTGGAATTTGTTGTGCCCTGGGAGGTGAGCACCAGGTCAGTAAAGTTCAGGTGGGTGGCTGCAGCATGAACTTCCTTCCTCTGTACCCTCGTCTCCTCTGCAGCTTCCACTCCTTGCAGAACCTGCAGTAACAGCAGCCTTGGTGATGCAGGAGGGAGCAGGGCTTCTGCGGGATTCAACTGTTGGTGCCCTAACTGCTGCCAGATCAAGACCTGAAAGCCTCTTGTCTTTCTGCATATTCAGTCCCCTCTATTTCATGCACAGACCAATTTGAGGAGGTCAGAAAATTATCCAGAGATTGGAAAAGAGATGTAGATAGGAGGAACCTACCTCAAACTGAGACCCATTGAATAGGTGAGCATCAAAGAACTGGGACTGGCCCAAGTCCCACGTCTCACCTCCTTGGCACATCTCACTGTCCTCGACTGTGTAGAAGGTTTGTCTGTTTACATCTCTTTACATCTCTGTCTCCTTCTGTTTTTTCTCACATATAGATTACCTGTTACAACATGAAAGATAGTTCAACAGTCAACACCCTAGCCTGTGATTTGTTTGAGCTTTAGTGGCCTGCTTTTTATGCTTAATCTAGCCTTTTGACACAAATAAACAGCCCTTCCTTGGTATCTAGTCTTGCCTCTGCCTATGCAAACATTTATTTCTGACCTACTCTCTGATTTTGTTACCTGAGTATTGAACTGTGAAAAGGAAATTACAGAAAACCCTTTAAAAAGTCAACCTCCCATTTCCTCAACTCCACTGAAAAAATAAATGATTCCACACCATTTTCAGACTTTTTCTCTGCTGGCTTTTCCTCTACATGTTGGCACCGAGACCGTGAGATTTGTGAGCCCAGGGTGCATCCAAGCCTGCCACAAAACACCTGCTGTTTTATTCCATCTCTCTCCATGGGTACAGTCCAGCTCTGGGGGCAGCTGGTGCTCACAAATTTTGAGGCACTTCTGATATAGGAATTACATTAGACTTCTATCTATTGAAATGTCTCTGTGAATGAGTGTACTAGTATAAATGCTCTTTCTTAATTCCTGGGAGAATAGGATAGTGTGTCTACATGGAGAAAAACTTCCTCTCCTTTAAAGGAGAAGAGTTCTCAGTGGCATTTTGCTGTGTGAAATGTTGATTGCAGGCAGCTGTGCAGGAGCAGCAACTGAACAGCATCTTATGCCCACAAGCACTCTGGCCAATGACAATCCTAAATGAAGTACATTGTGCTGAGTCCAGGTTGATCCATTGTGCAATACATGTAGTTAAGGAAAATGCATTCCTTTGCCCTCCTGCCACTCTGCTAGCTTAAGCATCTGCCCTGCAAACCACCTGTGTACACTATTTCATGGCATCAGCCTGTTGTGCCCAGTTCCATCACAGATTTTATTATGTGGATAAATCTCTACTGGAGAGACCAGCCAAAGTTGTTTGTGTACTCTAAGCATAATTGGATACCCAGTCTCCAGAGATAAAAAATTAATGTGCTAACCTCAGTGTGCCTCCAAGCTGTCCTCCAGCTCCCCCACACAGTCATCTTTGAAACATTTTTATTTCCATCCAGGCAGGGGGCTGGCCATGAATAAATGAGGAGAGTCAGCCCCTCAGTTGGAGGCGAGCTGTTTGTTCCTCTCCACAAGCAGCATCAATTTGAAAAGCTACATCAGGCCTACTTTTCCCTGCCTCAGTGCTGATCCTTGCTGGGGCCATGGTGGGAGCTACTTCTGAATGGAAGGATGCATCAATGCCCACCTTGCAACAAGATACCCTGCAGCAGGTGCTTTTCAGTGAAAATATGTACATTACCTTGAGTTAACTTCTTAGTCATTTAATCTGTTTGTTTTTTTTTTTTCTCTTTTCAGAGTTTATTTTCATAAGGAAAAACACTCAAAATGCTAAAAGAAACAGTAATGATTGGAGTGTTTGAACTGTGTAAAGATTTTCCTTAAATCCTTTTTGCAGCTGAAAATCACTGAGACTTTTGTGAGGGTATTTTGCGACACTGAGTTAAAAAAATAGATCAGTTGTTTAGAGTTATGGCATAGTGGAAAATCCCAAAATCATCTCCTATGTCGACAGAGAGCTAATCTGCAACCCACTTTTTTGTTTGTTTGTTTTGATTGGAGTCATGGGGTGGTTGTTTCAGTAATTTGGTGTTTCTTTTCTATACTGCCTGGACAAGGACTAAAATATTGCTGTTGATGTGCAACTGTCATTGAAGAGAAGCACCGAGTGCTTCTCAGTAGTTTGTGGGAAAATATTTCCAACCTGACTAATTGGTTTTTGAAACACATGTGTTGCCTCAACAGCACATCAGCTCTCGATTTAGGATTAATGTATTTGTACAAATACATCATTAATGTATTTGAAGGGTTTTTTTCCTTTTTCTATCTCCCTGCTTTTTCTGTCTTATTTTTTTCCTTCTCCATGTAGAATTTGAACCAAGTAAAATCCAAATGCTTTGACTGAATTTGAATTGAATAGGTGCTCTCTACCTTCTCACACTCCTCCAGTGAGTAATTTCCAGATAAAAGCCTACAAGATGTTGCAGGGACCTAATTCATGGCACTGGCCATTCTCACCTGAATATTGAGGGATGCTGCCAGATGGGGCTGTATATTGGGC